AGCACTACCACACAGCACAAGGACCACAAACACAAACACAAAACCCTCCATCCACCTGAGAAATCCAAAGTAGAACATCAAACCAAAATAAAAATAAAAATACAGAAAACAAAGAATCTTAGATTAAGCAAAATGGGTACAAAAAAATAAACATCAAACTCTACCCAATAGACAACCTCATATCAAGTAGAGCTAAAACGAAATGGAACACAACCCAGAAAGCAGATATTAAGAACTTGGCTAAATTGAATAGAAGACAAAAAGATTAAAAAAAAAAAAAAAAGTGACTTTGGATTTCTCAATTGAAGCCGGAGAGAGTGTGACAAAAGTATATAAATCATTGATTACTCATCACTTAACAAAGTTTTTCGATTGATTTGGTTCTTTTTATGGTATCGGAGAGTCTTCGTGACTAAGTAGTCACTACTTCGATTCTCATTGCTTTCCATTGTCTTCATTTTTTCTTGTGAAATTTTTTAGTAGCCCGTGTATTATTCACTTTTCATGTCCAATAGGCTCTCGTACGAGGGGCATCTTAGAAAAATTCATCTTTCAAGCCCATAAAATCTCATGTGAGGGGCAGAAATATATAAACCATTGATGAATCTTTACTTTTAAGTTTTTAGGTTGATTTGATTATTTAAGGATGAAACAAGAGGACTCGAAATTCAGTAAATTGAGAGAGGGATAACATAACATACACAAGGAAGTAGAGTACGACAAATGGGAATGGTTAAGACAGCATAAACATGTGAATGGATATACATATAAATGTAGTAAAAAAACAAAGCAGGTTGGAGTGCAGTGCAGGTATCGTCAATGAAGTAATGCTTAAAATCATCTCGTGAAAGATAAGGTTTGATTTGGAAACTAATAAATAACACTACCAACCCGGAATTACAGCATGGGAGAGGGAAGGCTAACAAATACGACTAGACATCATGTTATCTGAACTTGGTAAGTGGGAAAGAGAAAGACACAAACAGACCACTAAGTCATAAACAAATTAGTAAGGTAGTGTTTGGTTGGGGAGAAGTTAAAATTTTGGTGAGTAAGTGCTTCTGAGAATCTGACCCAACCACCTTTGGTTGAAGCTTTTTGCAAAATTTCCCCATCAAACTGTTTTCCCCTGCAATCCAAGAAGAAGTGTAAAAATTGGATTTCCACACTGTTGAAGAAGCCGTTTCAACATGTAGTATTCTCTTAGGGGGCGTTTGGTTTCGGAAAATTTTTCAGAATAGTAATGAAATGTAATAGATAGAGAAATGATTGGAAAGATAGATAAAGTGAGATAGGTAGAAAAATGTAAAAAAAGTAGTTTGGTGGGGAAAAACTTTACTGGGAAAATTAGGTAACTTTATGAAATCAACAGTGCATTAAAAGTCAGATAACCGGTTTTTCGAAAAATCTCACCTTCAAATTGGGTTTCTAAACAGTGCAGATATCTATGTTTCTCATAAATCCAGACAAATTGGATAGATGGGTTTTTGGTGAAAATACGTTGAAACAAACATGGTGTTTTTAAAAGCCATACTTCAGAAACATAGATATCCGCTGAAAAGATCCCAACCAAACACCACCTTAGGGTATCAGATAAGTGAAAAAGGTGGAGAATGGATTGACAAATATACCCCTCTCCCTATTAAACCACGACGAAAAGAAACGAGGAGCTAAGCTTTGTGTTCTGTTAAAAGTATAGATGAATGGAATCAGGTATAGGTTGCAAGTGAAACAGGTTATAATACCAACTTTTTTTGTCTTTGAAACAGGTTATAATACCAACTTTTTTTGGGTGGATTCGAAACTGCTAAGAGGAAATCCAAAACACTTTATTATTTCTGTCATCTTATTTTTGGCTTATTTTCTTTTCAAATTTTCTTTTGTATCTCTTGCTGCTCATAAAAATCCTACTGTTTGGGTTCTTTCATCAACAGGGCAACAGATTCTTATCCGATGAATATGTTTGGGTTTAGTTGTTTCTTTTAATATGATTGATTGGGCCAGTACAATTTTTTGGTTTGATTAGTAGCAGCTCCGATTGAAATTTATGTTTGTATCACATGAGATATTTTCTTGAATTGTAAAAATCTGATCATCCGATATACTATTTTGCCATCTTCCACTTATTTTCTTTTTATTATATAATACTTTATGAACTTCGAAAATATAAATTTGGTGAAGAAAAAGTTTCCACAGTGATTATCTAGTATGTGAATAGAAATGTAGGTCCTCATCATCCACACATCAGGATGGAGACCTCAATGCACATGTCCAAGAAAAAAGAATCGAGAATACATGAGTAAAAATGCATAATTTTATAAGAAGGTTAATTTTGTCTTTTGCATTATGTTTCCCATCACAATTTTATTTTTAACCAAACACACATCAGGATATTTAACCTAATATTCCTAGTAATATTTGCGCTACTAAACAACTTTTTTTACACTTTTCTACTAAACTAACTTTCCAACGTCTTTCCTAGTAAAGACAACTACCCACTTTAAAAAAATTTCTTCCCAACTAAACACTACCTCAGGGATGTGTAGGAAATTTTATGGCGCAGAATAATACAGAAGAAAAATGGGCTTTTATTATAAGAAAATTTTCCCTCAAAAATACAATTTCATCAAGAACATACCACTATTTTCTTTTCTCAAATGAGTACTTCGGTACTGCTTTTCCCACATTTTCTTCTTCACGGCATTCCTCTATTTATACAACATTTGATTGACATTTCTATTTTTAGATGGAAACAAACTTTTTGCTATTTTATTTTAAATGTAAGTTGCATCCCCCTGTGACCTAGGCTAGTATTGTGGTGCATGCTTTCACATTTTATTTCTAGATTTTTTTTAGTTTTAGTTTTTATCCTTTTTTTAGATTTTTGGAGTTTGTTTTCTAACAGGATGAACAATGAACAATGGTTATCCAAGTTTGGGCATGATCCAGGAATGAATATGGATATATTCAAAAGATTGCACATGGATATAGTTGATAAGTCACGACCAGGTGTTGCTCCGTGGGTACTGATTTGCAAGTTATCTTTTACACTAGCGGAGGTTTATACATTGCAACCCGTGTAGATAGATACAGAGGTAGGAACTAAAAATAACTTGTGATAAAAAAATGAACTTTTAAAATAACTTGGGAAGTTTTCTCAATCATATTATAGTATACGGTGTGGTGTTTTTTTTAAAGGACATAAAATTGTCTCATTTAAAATAAGAAAAAAGAGATACACAAAGAAAATCATGGGAAAAAAATGTGTAAGTTTTTTTTTTTAATTTAAATTTTAAATAAAAACACTAATATTAACTAAAATAATTATTTTTAAAAGGAAGAATATTTTTCCTATATTATAATACCCTTTATCCTAATTTACATTTCAATCCAAAAAGTTTTGTTATTTTCATTTTTACTTGAAACATGAGAGCAGATTTCAGGGCCTGTTTGGTGTGATGTATAAGGCCTGATAATATAAGCTTATACTATACGTTGCGACATATTTAGTTGTTTGGTGTGACCATCGTATAGTATAAGCTTATACAACAGGATCCCTTCATACATCAAAATGACGCATAACTTAATCAGGCATAGGAGAGTAGGATTAGGCTTGGTAAGAGGTTGATGTATTAACCAATGCAATTCTCAAGAATTAATATATTATTTTAATATTAATATATTAAAATAAAAAATAATTTTTTAAAATATTGGAGATTTTTATTTTTATAAAAATTAATATATTTTTTGGACACACTGATCAACATATTTCTATAAAAAATAATATCATCTCATATATTTGAAAGAATTATGTAAATTTATTATTAAAAGGTATTTTTGACAAAAATATTTATTTTTAACCTATCTAGTATAATACAGTGTATTATCAAACATTGGATGATATTATCTTATACAATTTATTATCTTATATAATATCATGCCAAATGCTGGATAGTATTAAAATTTAATCAACTCTTATACAATCATGCCTTAGACTATCAGGCCTTATACTATCAGGCCTTATCCTGTACTATGTACCAAATATGCCCTCAATTGCATAAGGGTAAGGAATAAGGTGTAAACATTGAAATTAAAGAGAATACATTACCCACAACAACATAACCAGTGTTGTAAAACTCCAATATGTCATCGACTCGGTCGAAGTACTGGATTATTGAATAATTAGTTCAACCGGGTTCAACTAAATATATTATTTACATATTAAAAATATATAAATATATTACTTATAATAATATGAAGAAAATGAATGGTAATAAATGCTATAAGTGAAAGAAGAATATTATCTGTATATGCCTGGGAAAGTGGCAACATTATATTTTTTTTTATTTTAACAGTTTGCATAATTTATAATTTTTTAATTAAATCTCATAAAGGTAACCGAAATGCATAAAAATAAAATAAAAATATTAATCAAATGCATACAATAAAAGAATAATATTAACTAAATTATGTAAAATTGATGCATTCCACCATCTCTCCTCGGTCCAACCCCTTAGGGAGATATAAGAAACTTGTTAATCAATGTTAAAAGTGGATCTCCGAATCAACAACCAAATCATAATAAGCTGGTAAAAAAAGTGAGATATAATAAGATCATAATCTTCAAGATTTTATGCACTTTGAGACAATTCAGAGCAAATATCAGATAAAAAATTACTGCACTAGGATATTTCCTTATAAATATAAAAGCATAACCGATGAAAACAAGAAAATCGATTATCCAAATGCTTTCATAAAATATAGGTTTTTTCAATTACAGAGTATATTAAAAGGAAGAAAAAATCAATTACATAGGAAGAAAAGAATGAATGCACATTAGGAGAGGGATAACAAATTGGTTATTATACATAGTCCCAACCAGAGCTTTGTTTATTTTTTATTTATTTTTTAAGTTGATGACTCATGTTTAATCAACAGTGCTCATACCATATTAATATTATATAGCAAATAGACCACAATATAGCAAGTAATTAAAGGGTTAATACATATTTTGATATTATTAACGAAAACACCTACAATTAGTGTGATGCATAATCACCACTTCTTCCCGTATTCTTTATAAAGGAGTAGAAATAGAAAGGTCAAGAGTCATACTGCTGCAACCAACTTCCTATTTATTAATTCTGTTGATCATTACTCTTTCTATATTTGAACCTTTACAGATGGAACTTATATAGTGTTTATTTAACTTATATCAACCTTGAATGTTGAAATAAACAGTATAATGTTCATCTCTGAAGGTGAATAATGGCTCCAAAAGAAAATTCCTGTTTCTTCCTTTAGCGACGAAGCTGATAGGATGGTATTGGGTTAATCCTTCCCCAGCAACAAAGCTTGCTGCTAAGTTAAAAGTAGTGTCAGATTCAGACTTGCAACTGAGCTTAACTCCTGCATCAGAGCTCATCCCAGTGTACACGTAACAACCCTTATTGCTTTGGGATTCTAAAGATATTGTTCCATTTCGTCCATCCAATCCTGGTACCACAAGAAAAACAGAAGATGGCCCTCCATCGGAAGAATCTCCAACAAGAGGTTGGTCTGCTCCTTGGTGAATCACATTCATTCCAGGAAGATCAAATGGTTCTAACATCACTTCTTTACCAGTAGCATCTGTCAATGTTGAAAACTTTGAGGAAGATTCTTTAGGGATAAGTCTAAAGGTTGCCTGAAGAGCCAAATCAGTGCCAGATTCAGGTAGTTTTTGCATTGTAAGTGAGTGGTTTGAGTTTGTTAAAACAAAAGTTGATTCTGCAAAGTCTTGGGAAAAAGAAACTAGTTGACTATTGTAACTGGAAGGAATTGGAGTAATCCAGTCTTCAACAGATGTGTTAGCCTCAGCTTTAATGTCCCAATCACCGGTGGTATGACCAGCAAGAAGATACGGACCATAAAGAATTGCTTGGACAGATGCATATTCAGGCCTGTCATCTTAATTTCATTAAAGAACATAAAATCAGTAATGTAAACTAATTCTAGAACATGTTTACGATTGAAGGCTTAACACTAGTTGATTATCTTACGAAGCTACCTTTTATGGTTTCCGTTCTGAGGGTAAGGGGCAACTGAAGGGACAGCTTGTCACCAGCACTCCACTGTCGTGTGACTGACAAAAAATTTCCTAGAGGACCACAAAATAAAATATTATTTCCAATTTTCAAGTCCCAAATTTTTCTGTTATAAACTACACTTTATATATAGTTTACTAGTGTGTGTGTGTATTTCCAAACCTAAAGGAATGGCCAAAGAACATTGTTTTGCTGGTGGTTAAGAATTCTAGCATCTAGTGTGTGCGCGCATGAGCAATTAGATAATAGTGGAATCTCTACTTTTGGATAGTAAAAAAGAAGTAAAGAGAGATTCATACCTGGAGTTGGCAGAGATAAAGTCTCAGCATTTAATATCCCCTTGGCACCATCCTTACGAGTCCAAGATGGTAGTCGAAAGTTTAGTGTAGAAGAAGTACCAATTTTCTGCACAAGTAAAGATTTAAAAAGATTGGTTGTAGAAGAAAAATGTCGAGAATCTATACTTAATTTCTTCTTGGTTTCTGCTCAAATAAGATTGAAAAAATGGCATTATAAGTCACACCAGTCTGTCACCTTTCATCAGAAGATATTACACCTTATCCATTATCTGTTAGCTAATTCGTTTAGCAATTAAGAATTTAAAATATATCTGAACAACTAAATTGTAATAATCAAGTTGAGATACCCAATTTTGGTGTCATAATGAACCTATCTTCAATTAATAATCACCTTGATGAGGCAGTTCTATATCTCAATACCACTTGCATTTTTTCAAGTTCTATTAATAAAAGACTGGAGGTCAAAATGACGAAAGACAAAAATTCCAAAATTAAGAGGTGAGATGTGAAAGTACTGGTATTACACTAATCTCAGAAATTATACTCCAATTTTGGTGTCATAATGAACCTATCTTCAATTAATAATCACCTTGATGAGGCAGTTCTAAATCTCAATACTACTTGCATTTTTTCAAGTTCTATTAATAAAAGACTGGAGGTCAAAATGACGAAAGACAAAAATTCCAAAATTAAGAGGTGAGATGTGAAAGTACTGGTATTACACTAATCTCAGAAATTATACTCCAATTTCTTTTTCATTTCTCATACTACCAAGATGTATGCTAATTATCATACATAAACCAAAAGAAGTAGCAAAAGGACCCAACATTTTGGAAAATGAAAACCTTAGTGGAGAAGGGGTTGAGGAGAGGAGATACCAAATGTTGCCCAGATTTGGCATTATGAGAATGTTTAATCTAAAATGTATCTATGATGTATATTTGGATAACTGAGATGCCGTGAGACAAAGTAATAGGTACCTCATTAGGAGAAAATGTAAATGTCACTCGTAGGAAAGGATCCCTTGAAGCAACTGGAACAACTGTCTGATTGAGCAAAATTTTCCCCGATTTCCAATTAAATGAGCTTGATATGTACTGAATGATGTAAAGAGTAGGATTTTTCCCTTCCTCTTCAAAATAGATAGAATCTCCCAGCTTTGAGAATGATTCAATTCCTAATGAACGGGAAAAAGAAATTGAGAACATAAGACTCATAAGAGTATGAAGGAGTTGACAAAGAATATGGTGCAGTTTGATGCAGTTTGGAAAGTGAATAAACAAAATAAATGCACACCTGTTCCATAGCAGCACCAGAAAGCGTCAAAAGGTGTTCCCCAACTATGTCCAGTTTTAGCCTTGGAAACCCCAAGACCTAGTGGAAGCATATAAATCATCACACCAGGATCTGTTCCTCTTTGAATGCTGAGTACACCATTTGTTAAGGCACGCTCATAATAATCTGAATAAGAGACTTCTTTGGTCCATCTAAACAGGTGGCGAGAAACCTGGAATCATTTTATTTTTGGGTGCTCAGATAATGGAAACATTATACGGCAACATAAGTACTTCAATAGAAATAACCTGAGATTGAATATCAAGTATTATGTCACAATTACATATAAACACATATACAAAAAAAAAAATCATAAACATATACCGATGAATTAACATGTAATAATAAGTCATCCCTCTTCCAACAGTTCAAAAGAAATTTTTTCACATACACATTTTTTAACTTCCCAAGCATTACATGATGAGCTAATAAAATGATGAATGATTGGCTGTACCTTCAACATATTATAAGTTGTGCATGATTCTTCATTCTCTGTTGTTTTCAGGTTGTCTGCTATTCTCCTTGGATTATTCCTACGCAAGAATTGAAGTAAAGGAGTTAAGAAACAAAACTAGAACTGATTACCAACAAATAAAGGAACAGAACACTTACTACTTGATGCCCCAGTAGAAAACAACTATTCAATGGACAATTTTAAATGCATATGAAAAACTGAAACCAAAAATGCTGACATCTTAATACCAGAACTCACTGACTGATGTCCCTCCAGTTGCATAGCTGTGAGAAGAGTTTATAAGGTCCATAAAAAATGTCCCAACATCCTAACATAACAAAAAAACAAGAATAAATCTTAGAAAGTTGAAAGGCATGAAAAATGGTAAGTTATACTTCGCATAATGATTACTTCCGATACAACTCTACTAAACATACCCAATATAGGGGAAGAAACGAAAGCAATGATCCAAGGAGAGTGAAAGTGACGTGGACGGAAATACCAATTTACTTTGACGTAAGAACCATATAGTGCCAATACCAATTTATGTATTTTTTTATATCATTCAGAGTGAAAGTGTACTTCACAAACTATCACTGACTGAATGCCTATACGTATAAATAGGGATGTTTGAATGACTAATATCTTCAAGTTATGCAACCAAGAGAATTAGTTAATTTCACAAGCCGTTGACTACAGAAGTTTTAATTACTAGATCATTGAGAAAATATCATAAGCAAAATCTATAAATTACATAATGTAATTTAAAAACTAATAATGATATTATACAAAAAAATAGTAAATAAACACAATTCCATTAAAACTTAGTGAACTATATATCAGTAATCTGTTTTGTTAGAAGAATCCACTTTTTGTTAGAAGAATTACATCATGAGTCTACATTGTGCATAAAGTATTCACCTTATAAAGTGGATCGCCTGTGACTTCATACCGTAATTGAGATCCAACAACAATTGGGATATGTGTATTAGCATGAAAATCAGCTATGTCGTTAGCCTACATGAAGAAGAAAGTTTAAAAATTAATTCTTGGGCCTCGTTATAAACTTAGATATAATGCCTAAATTCCACATCCAAAAATGTAATTGTTTCCTTTGGAGGTGAGCACAACATTATATATAATATTCAAGTTGGGGGAATTTTTTTGTGTGCATAAAAAGATGAACATCGATTGTCAATATTTTCTTCTTAACATGATCTGTTTTTCATAAAAATTAAACTTGAAATAAGGAAATAATTAAATTTTGGGAATATAGTTTCTCACGCACACACAAAAAAGTGGATGAGACCCACTTGTTTTTTTTTTCTCTCTCTCTCTCTTCTCCTTAGTAGGTCCCACCCACTTTTTTGTATATGTATTGTCCCATGCCGCATGAGAAACTATATTCTCGTAAATTTTACATAGAAACTTTCTGCTATATATAATATATCATGTGCACTCTCAAAGATGTACTTACTCATCTAAAAGCTAACATTAGTTATAACTGCAATACAACTGATTTTAACAATAATTTGAAAGACAACTGTAATGGTGAAACCCCTTGAAACTTACAGCCACAACTATATAAGACAACGTAGATTAAATAGCAATTCTGTCATAACAAATATTGTTATCACTACCTGCACTGCAAGCAACCCTAAAAAGCATGGCTTGTCGAAAAGGTGAGCCAACAATAGATGCTTTGAATCTCCCTGCATAGAATAACAAGACAACTTTACTTCAGAATTGAAGTTTACAGCAATAACTAGGTAACATGTGCTATAATCATGAAAACTATTTTACAAGTAAGCCATTGCTTATAAAATAATCTCTCAACTAAGGATTAGAATCCATATCTGTTAATGACTATACTTATATCAACAAAGTCTACAAGTCAAGAAAATTATACATACAAATGAAGCAATAACAGAGTTGAGGAAACTATAAAAACTGATTAACGTACCGTTAAGCTGTATAATCTGTAAAGGACATCATTCATTCCTCCAGTTTCCTCATTCAGTGACTGATAGTGTCTATTTATAGTGTACTTTGTTATTACATTCATCACTCGGTTGTAAAAGTAATCAACCATCCATGTCACCATTTTTAGAGCTTGAGGGTTTCCAGCAATAGTATGTTGATCCAACAGGCCGGCCAAAATCTGTCAAAGCTGAATAGTTGAAATCCCACTATACTAAGGCCAAAAGCGCTTGCATAATCAAAATCCACTTTTAATTATACCTTGTGAATGGTGTAATAGGGAGCCCACACAGATTGAACAGCTTCAAATCGATCAAAAAACTCAGATGGAAATGCAGAGAGATATCCTGTTCCAATTCTCTCCTGACAGGCAGACAAACCAGCAACAAGAGCTGACATTTTCTCCTTGAGGCTACCATTCTGTGTGCTGGCCCACATTAGAGCTGAAGCACTCAAGTAATGCCCTTCACAGTGTCAAAAACATGCAATTATAAATTAACCTTGAAAAGTAAACTGCAGAGGCAGAAAGTTGCAGCCAGGGGTAATGTACTTGCTAGATGGCAGAGCACTAAAATCCGAAGGAGAACCAAACATGCATTTGTGTGTCTACACATTAGTGTGTAAGTGATATTTCAGAAGCTATGAACAAACCTTAAACCAAGCAAATAAAATTCAGTACTTGAAATACATGGTGTCCAAGGAGTCCTTCAGAGATAACCATATACATAGAAAGGCAAGCTTTACAAAAGCCTGAGAGCATTTGTTTGCTGTTTGGGTGGGTAAAACATCAACTACGAAATATTCTCTAAATATAACTGCAGTTTTTATTCAAACAAATACTCTAATCTTCTCTCAGCTCTGACTAAAATAATACCAAGCAAAAAAGTGGAAAAAGCATTACAAGAGAAAAAAGAGAGGACTTATGCAGTTATACCCTTTTGTATTTTAGATTAAAAAGAACCAACCACAGGGTTAATCTACCAATAACAATTCGAATAAAAGTGTAATGTGAGTTATTACGCTTTCATTGCATCTTAAGTCTTCATTAAGAAAGCAAAAGAGGTGAGTATTAATAAAGAACATTAAACGAGGACACAAGTTAGATTTGGTAAATAAAAGCCAACAACAAAAACAACAACAGTTAAGAGGATTAATGAAATAAATAAACTAACCAACAAAATGACCCCTTAGCTCAACATCTGCACCTTCCCACCCTCCATAAGGTGTTCCAGGAGTTGGTAGACCAGCGTTCTTCCTGAAGCTCCAAAGCAACCTGTCCACATCCAACATCAACAGATACTCCAAGTTTGTCTGCTGTGCCCTCCAATGGATGGAACCCACAAGCAACCTCACATCCTGCAAAGGCACTTCTTTGAGAAAGCCTTCAGGTGACTTGAACACACCCATGTTCTTAATTTTCTTATACATCACCGCCCAATCATGTTGGTGTTCTTCTGACAAGAACTTCCTCGGTAGCAAATCTGCCCAAGTCGATTCATCGGTTGGTGTCAAATGGTAATGGTAGTGAGACATCACCTCCGCCTTCCACGTCTCATTCTTTGATGCCAGCAGCTCATACCTGAACGTGTGTGATTGGGTAGGAGTGTTTGTGCACTCTTTACCACCAGCACTACCAAACAGCACAAGGACCACAAACACAAACACAAACACAAAAGCCTCCATCCACCTGAGAAATCCAAAGTAGAACACAAACCAAAAAACAAACAATCTTAGATTAAGCAAAATGGATTAAAACGAAAAAGCATCAAACTCTACCCAATAGACAACCTCATATCAAGTAGAGCTAAAACGAAATTGAACACAACCCAGAAAGCAGATATTAAGAACTTGGCTAAATTGAATAGAAGACAAATAGATAAAATTAAAAAAAAAAAAAAAAAGTGACTTTGGATTTCTCAATTGAAGCGAGAGAGAGAAACAAGACCACTCGAAATTCAGTAAAGTGAGAGAAGGATAACATAACATACACAAGGAAGCAGAGGACGACAAAGGGGAATGGTTAAGACAGTATAAACATGTGAATGGATTATATATATATATATAGTAAAAAACAAAGCAGGTTGGAGTGCAGTGCAGGTGTCGTCAACGAAGTAACGCTTAAAATCATCTCGTGAAAGATAAGGTTAATTTGATATGGAAACTAATAAATAACACTGCCAACCCGGAATTACAACATGGGAGATCATCTCGTGAAAGATAAGGTTAATTTGATATGGAAACTAAATAATAACACTGCCAACCCGGAATTACAACATGGGATATAATCTCGTGAAAGATAAGGTTAATTTGATATGGAAACTAAATAATAACACTGCCAACCCGGAATTACAACATGGGAGAGGGAAGGCTAACGAATACGACTAGACAACATGTTATATTAACTTGGTAACTAGGAAAGAGAAAGACAGACAGACCACCAAGACAAAAACAAATTACTCACGGATGAACAATGGACAAAAAAATAAAGCACGGGCGTTGAAGTTGTAAAACTGGTTATCCAAGTTTGAGCATGATCCATGAATGAATGAATATACTCAAAAGATTGCACATGGATTTATATAGTTGATATGTCACGACCTGGTGTTGCTCCGTGGGGGTAGGTACTGATTTGTCAGTTATCTTTTTTACACAAAGTGGAGGTTTTATACATTGCAACCCGTGTAGATAGATACTGAGGTAAGAACTAATTTATATAATATTATACGTAGAATGATCCACAATTACACTATGTTTACTCGAGAACATAGTGTGTAATCAGTGTTCTACCGGAAGAAGTAATTTATAAGAGTTTGTAAACAAATATTTTTTGTAAATATAACCTGTTCCATATTATATTATAATTACCTTTTATCCTAATTTACATTTCAGTCCTAAAAGTTTTATTATTTTCATTTTTACTCTTGAGACATGAGAGCAGGTTTCAATTGCATAAGGGTTAGGAATAAGGTGTAAACATTGAAATGGAAGAGAATACATTACCCACAAACATCATAACATTTTTGTATCAAACTTCAACTCTTCATAAGGAGTATTTCAGCTTCGTATCTATCTCCTTCACAGCAAAACGATGATGATTGATGGGGATTCATCTGTGTATCAAAACTTTACGGAGCAAGGTTCGTCGAAAACAATCCACACCCAAGAAATCTGCCATATTGCAAATTAGTTCCATTGACGCTCACTTTCTCATTCTCCATCCAGTAATTTGCTCACAACGGTGAAGATGGGTATTTTTTGGGGAAAAAATAAGAAGTAATAAATTAAAGATGTTCACTCTATTATTATTTTGATTATTATTAGATTAAAGGAGAGATTGAAGAACGAAAAGAAAAGAAAAAAACTTTTGAATACGTAATTAAAGTGGTCATAAAAAAAATTAATAATAAGAATATGTTATCTCTAAATTAAAATAAGGGGGAAATACTTTACCAAAAAAAAAAAATAAGGAAAAAATATGTACCCTTTGACATAAACTTTGAAGAGAGGTGGGTTAGATTCAAAGAATTGATATTCACACCTTTATTTTATTATTTTAATAAAATTCATATCTTTTTATATTTATCTTTTTCTTAAAAAATATCGTATGTTTTTTAAAAATACACACATTTTTCCTTAAAATAATATTAAGAGAACAAAAGTTACCAAGTTGTTGTTTTTTTTTTTTTTAACAAAGCTAGTAGTAGTGGTTACGTGAATATGTATAAATAATATATTTCAAGAAGGGAATGATTTTATTTCCTACTTATTTTATCTTTCCATTTTTATTATCTTTTTATTACTGTTAGAATATATTTAAATTAGCAATAGAAAACAAGAGGTGTAGTTAGGTGTGTAAATGGGCTGGGCTTTGGCCTTTTCGGCCCAAGCCTACGTAAAAAAAAAATTCAGCCTATCTGACCTACTGGCCTATTAAGGCTTTATTTGTAGGTCAAGCCCGGTCCATTTTTTAAAATAAGAAAGCCTGACATGACCTACAGGCCTTGTAGGCCTCCCACTGTAAATACTAAGCAAAAAAAATAATTGTATAGAGCAAAGAAAGTTCCATTCATGTATGCACTAGTACTTCTCATAAGAAAAAAAATGACAAACAAGAAAGAGTCAACATAATACCTCAGCTCTATCATGTATATCATAGAGGAATAGAGTCAAAGAAATGAAAAAAATAAGAAAAATACAATTACCGGATGCTGAAATAAAATCTTCAAGAGAATGTCATTTATCTAAAAATCTTTAAACCACCATCAAGACAAGGGAAAGAAGAGTATTATTGAAAGATCTTCATTAGTAACATCATAATTCAGCAAGGTACCTCCATGGTATTAAGCTGCAACAACATGTAAAATTTGGAGACATTAGACAAGTTTTCCTTTCATAAAATAAAATAGCACAAAAAGTAAGAGATATTGGTATTTGGTACTTTGAGTCTTTGACACATAAAATAAATATTATTTTATTATTTTATTTTAATAAATTAAATAGGCCAGCCTACAAGGCTGTAGGCCGGACTTGACAAAATTGGCCTATGGCCTATTTGTTAAAAAAACTTTTTTATAAGCCTAAGCCTACTCTACTTTTCTGAAAGGTCGGGCCTGAGCCGGGCTCAATGTAGGCCGGGCTGTAGGCTGGGCTGGGCTAGCCCGGCCCATTTACACCCCTAGGTGTAGTTAGTTGGAAAAAAAAGGGAGAGAAAAATAAAATAAAAAATTATGATATTTAAGATCTTCGATTTCAATTTAATTTAACGATAATAAAAAAAGGATTGGAAGATTAAATACGTAGATAATATGGGTGTTCGCGATCTGGAATAAATCAGTTTTGGAAGAAAAAATCATCTAATCCAATTTCTTAGGTTTAATCGTGTAATCATCCATTCAGTTTAGATTTTTTTCAAATCTGATCCGATCCAATCCAATTTTATTCAGTTTGGATTGAATCGATTTTTATTTTTTGAAAAACCTAAGATTTATATAATGATTATTATGCAAATAACATATCTTTTGTATGTATCGACTTTGTAAAGTTTGATGATTATTGTGCAATCTATAAGCATTGTACAACAAAAAGTTGAATTACCATCTTTTATCTCTAACAAAGAATTTATTATATGGTTCCCTGAGATAGAAAGTAACCCAAATTTTCTTTCTATAGAGGAGCTGTTGTACAACAATAACCCATGTAAAAAAAATGGAAAAAATGTTTGTCATTTTAAATGACATAAAATTATGTCATTTTAAGAGAGATAGACACATAATAAATTTTTTATTTAAATTTTAAATTAAAAAAAATCACCCACTTTCTCTCTCCCACGATTTCTATTTTTTGTGTGTATCTCTCTTTTAAAATGACATAACTTATGTTATTTAAAATGATAAACATCAAGCCCAATAAAAATATATTATGTATCAAGCATAACCCACTTTCTCCAACATGATGGGTTAATAGGTCTTGGATTTAAAATTTTGCTATATGATTTTTGTGTTATGATTAGGGAAAGGCTACTTGATAAAGTTGGGGAATCATTGGATCGGTTTGGATTGGATCAGTTTTCACTAACCAATCCAATCCAATTAAATTTTGTGATTTTTTTTGTTTTTGATTTTTTCGATTTTTCGGTTTTCGATTTTTCGGTTCGGTCTCTGCAGTTTGAATCGGTTTGGATCGGTTGATGAACATCCCTAATAGACAATATAATCATCATTTATAATAATATAATTTTGATGTAATAATGCGAGTATCATATAATAATAGGTTGAACACATCTTTGAGAAAGTATGCAAGCATTTCTAGTCGTAATTGTCATAATTGAACTTATTTAAGGAAATTGTTAAATGTCTCGATAGAGGTTTTCTGCTAAGTATATAATGAATAACATGTAGCAACTAGATGAGAAAAAACAAAACAAAATTGATCAAAGAAAGGGATTAAAAGAATTCGCTTTTTTCTTTGGTTAATGGCAGGGGAGAAGCTGATGACTAATGTTTGTAGAAAAATCTGTGTCCTAGATGTAATCAGTCTAGTGAAACTATCCTTCATACTATTCGCGACTGTATCAAAGGAAGTATGGTGCATGATAATGCCTCATATAAATCAGCGTGAATTTTTCAACCTCAAAAATTGGATCATTTCTAATTTAGACAGCTCAAAGGATTGGGGGATGGGGTCGGACTGGCCTCTTTTATTTGGAATCTTAGCCGTTCAGCAATTGGTTTCAGAGATAGTGTCGCTCTTGCAGCTAACCCTGTTTTTGGAGCGGGCAATCAACCAAGGAATCGAATAGAGAGATTGGTTGCTTGGTGTTTGTTATGTAAAAATATATCATTAATTATTGGGATAAAAAAAGGTGATATGGCATCTCTCAATCAGTCTCGTGAAGGAAATTGCGCTACTAATTATGGTATGATTAATTGACCATAATTCTTTTTGTTGTGTTTTTGTTTCCTATTTCCAAAAAAGAAAGGGATTAAAAGATATTACAAAAAAGAAAAAAGAAAAAAAGAAAGGGATTAAAAGTGATTGTTATGATATATCATTAATTATTAAAAAAAGGTGATATGGCATCTCTCAATCAGTCTCTTGCGCTACTAATTATGGTATGATTAATTGACCATAATTTGTTCCTTGGTAAATAGTTGTATTAGCCCATTTTTTCTTTTTAATATAACAGAAAAATATTTCTACAGTTATTGCAGATAAATTATCTGTATTTATTTTTAAAATAATGTCATTTTAAAATTGAAAGATTGAAAAATTATAATTATAAAGACTATAATAACTTTAGAATATATTAAAATTACAAAAACATCATGATTTTCGTTCTAAAACGACGTCGTATTGAATTTATTGCAGATAAATTATCTGCAGTAACTGCAGAAAAAGCGAATAGTTAATATAAACTTGGTCATCATTGTAATTATCAATGAACAAAATATGGTCAATTATAATGCCTTAAATATTGCGATAAACGGATGGAGTAATGCTATATCATTTTTTTAATAAATAATGAAATATCACCATAACATCATCCCAATTAATTAATATTAAAAATTGTTAATACTTTCTTTTTTAAGTAGTTATATAAAAATTATTAACGTAATAGATAAAGCCATATCCTCCTGACATGACATCACTATATAGACTATAGTTATTCAAAACAGAAGGGATTTAGCAAAAAGGAAAAATCATTTAATAGCTTGAAAACTCAAAAAGCAATCTAATATTTTTTCTAATTAATCATGATAGTTATAAAGCTAATTTATTAAAAGGATTTAGAATTTTTGTTACTTGAAAGAAGATGTTAAAAAAATATAGCATTTTATATTTTTTTTATAAAATAGTTTTTTAAGTAGGTAAAAAGACTATTAAGCTTATTACTAAAAATATATATTATTAAGCTGATTTATTTAGAATTTTTTTAATAAATAATGCAATTAAACTGCAAGATAATTTGTTTACACA